CAAAGGGTGTGTGTGTGTGCACGCGTGCATGAGTAAGTGTGGCGAGTGGGGGAGGGCGCCCGTGTGCAAGTGGACGTGTGCGTGAGCGTGCAAGTGTGCGTGACTGGGCACCAGCGTGTGAGCAGGCCCCGGGGAGCGAACACGTGGGAGCGAGGAACGGAGTCCAACGCAATAACCGTGTCCCCCCCCCCCCCGGGGCCGCAGCCCCCGGCCCTGGCCCCGCCCCCCCTTCCGTGGGAGCCCAGGGCCAGCCCGCAGGTCTGTCCCTATTACCTCAGCCGTGGCGACAATGTGACAGTATTAACAAGGTAGCACCGAGCATATCAATAAATACTATTCTGATACTGCCTGCGTCCCGCATGGTCCATCCTGCAGGGGGCGTGCACTGCGGCCGAGGTCTCTTGGGTCTGGGCCCCTTCTCCCAACCACACACCCGTCCCTTACCCATCACAGGCTGTGGGAGGTGCCCCTCCGCCCTCCGGGCTGCCCCTGGGGGTGCTGCTGCTGGCCCACGGCAAGGCAGAAGCACGTGGCTGTCAGTCCTGGTTGACACGTCCGGCGTGTGCACTTGGGGCCACGGAGCATCCGGGGGCTCCTCCAGCGCTCACAGGCTCAGCAAAGACGACACGTGTCCCCCAGGCGCTGTCCCCTCTGTAAGATGTGTGGGGACAGGGACTTGGGGTACGCTTAGTGAAACAGGCTTCCGGGTGGAGGCACTCTTAAAGCAGCCTGGAGGTGCTCCTAAAGGCACAGGGGTCCGGGACAGGGGCCCAGGACCTGGGTGGGGACAAAGCTGGCCCTGTGGGTGCTCCATGGAACCACACGCCCTGCAGATCACAGCAGGTGACCCTCAGCGTCGGAAAGGGCACTCCGAGCAGGCCGACACCAGGGCAGCGGCGGGGAGCCTACAGGCGCAGGCCTCGAGTCGCAGGGAGGGCTCTGCCGAGGGCGCCACTGCCACCCAGACCTGCCTGCCTGGCCGCGAAGCCGCTCCACACCCTCCCCCAGCAGCCCTGAGTGGGGCAGGCGGACCCAGGAGTTGGATGGCGGATCCTACAGGGGCACAGGCGGGGGCTGCATCCCATCGCGTGTTTGAAACGTGGGCGTTAGTGTCTTTCAGGGGTGGTGAGGCCCAGAGCAGGAGGCGGCAGCCAAGACGGCGCCACACGGGGGGCAGGGTGGGTCAGGAGGCAGAGGGAGCAGGGACGGCGGGCACAGGGCCTTCGCTGTGGCTTCCCGGGGAGGGGCAGGGCAGGGCCGCAGGCTGAGGGCGGGCTGTGTGAGCACGGCGGCGGGGCTCCGGGCACAGCGGCTGCCCCTGGTGGGGGGGGGACCTGGCCCCAGGTGGCAAGGGCGGGTGGGGTGGCCCCCGTGGGAGCCCCGCAGAGGGACGGCGGGGCGGGCTCCGGACTGGCCGGCCTGCGTTGGAAGACGTTTGCTGTCTCTAGGAACTGGCCCGCCTGGGAGGAGCAGTTTCTTCCAGTGAGCATTTTTCTGGGTGCCAGAGCATCAGAAAACTAAAAGGCGCGATGAGCCTGCCCGTCCCCAGAAAGTGGTCACCCTCACGTGAGCCAGGACACTGTCCCTGGCCTGGCACCCCAGGCCATGCGGCCGGCCGCCCCTCAGGCTGGCACTCCATACGCCACGGGGAGGGAGCCTGTGTGCCCCAGGAACGGAGCAGGCGGGCCAGTCCCGAGGGCAGGATGAGCTCTGTCGCCTTGGCAGCGTCCCTCCTGATCCCAGGCGATGGGGGCCTTCGAGACCCAAACGGGGAGCCCGAGCCACGCGGGCCTCGGGCAGCAGCCTTTGCCAGGGGCCCCTGCCGGCCCTGACGGAGGCTGGGGTGAAGCTGGGCCTCTTCGACCCTCCCCATCCCCCGCTCCACACATGGAGGCCAGCTGGGCCCCGCAGACCACCCCGGCGCCTCTCAGACTCCAGCACATCCGGCCCACCCTGGTGGCCCCACTCAGGGCGGGCGCAGGGGTGTGCACCCCGCGCACAGTGGCGGGTCCGCCCCCCACGCCCCTGCCAGCAGGTACACAAGGGCTGCCGGCTGCAGAGCCTTCACACGCACGAGGGTCCAGGCAGGGCTTGGGCGCCCTTGCCGCGGGATCCCTCTGCCAGGCCCCTGGGCCGAGGCCTGCCCAGAAGGGGCACGTCCCTTCAGGGTGAGCGCAGCACCCTTGGTGTGAGGTGACCGTTGCCGAGTCAGCGTGCCGCAGCAGCCGACGTCCTCCTGCCAGTGCGTGGGGGAGGGGGGCCTGGCCCCCGGTCCGTGCAGGAGGGCACGCATGCGCTCCAGCGTCCTCTGAGGCCCTCCGGCTCCCCCGTCCCAGCCCCGCAGAGTGGGGGCGCTGCTGCCCCTCTCTCGGAAGAGAGGCTGGGGAAAGCCCTGCCGCCCACCTCACAGCCCGGTGTCTGCCTGCCACCCCGACCCAGCACGGATGAGCCTGCACCTTGCTCCTGCGCAGATGCCCCGAGCAGACCAGGGCACAGGGCACACCACCTGGCAGACGCCACTCTTCTGTGCGGAGGCAGCCAGTGCGGTTGGGAGGGCAGAAGTGACCTGTGCCTGCACAGAGAGCAGGGACCAGAGGCCTGCGGCCCAGGAGAACAGAGGCTGCCCTGAGGCCGGCCATGCCCCTCAGGCACCAGGAAGTTGGGCCAGGGAGGCGGTGGCAGCTGGGCAGACGGCCCAGCCTGCTGGCCTGGAGGGATCACGTCCTGCGTCAGCCCGAGCACAGGGGACCACCCGCAGACTCAGACGTGGGAACCTGCGATCCTCCGGGGCGCCTGGGGCTGCCTTCCTGGAACTCGCAGGGAAGCCCAGTGCCCAGCCCTGCCCGTTGGTGAGCTGGACTGTCCTCTCCCTCCCAGGCCTGGCAGGTGGTCTTCTGGCTCCGGGCTGAGGGGCGGACAGCCTGCTGGGACAGTCGTGTCAGTGGCCCCAGAGTGGCTTGTCTTAGGGCCCCGTCCTCCTTTCTTTTCTAAACAGAGACCCTCGCACTGGCCAGCGCCCCAGCAGGATGCAGCAGCTTCCTGCAGCGCCCAGAGTCCTGGCCCAAGGCTGGCGCAGAGCCGCGTCAGAGGTGCCCGGCCCCGGACAGTGTCCAGACGGTGGGCACGCAGGAAGCCATGACCTCACCCACCACCCGCCGGGCGCCGGGTCCCAGTGTCCCGGACAACCCACCGAGGAGGAGCGGGGTAACCTGAAGGGGCGGGACCGGGCGGGCGGCCTCGGGACCCTCGACAGGGTGGCCAGGGACACCTGGCGTTTCCCTCACACGCCCACCGCTGCGCCCGGAGGCCGCTGGCCGCCACCCGCTCAGCCCAAAGGGGACAAGGGTCCAGCGTCATGGGGTGGCCGCTCCAGCTCGGGCCCTGGGGGAGAGGAGGACCAGGGATCCTCCGCTGGCAGCAGGCCGAGGGCTCCAGCCCGCCGGGTGCGCCCGTCCTGAGGCCCCTCTGAGGGTTGCGGTTCCGGGACGCCAGCCACAGCGCCGAGGGAAGGCCGGGGCGCAGCGCCGGCGCCCCGCACCGCCAGCTGCGCACCCCGAGGGCCAGTCCCGCCCACGTGGGCGCGCTGCTGAGCCCTCGTTCTCCTTCCGCTCTTTGCATCCCACCCGGGGTCGTCCCGTTCGTTCTGCACCACTGGACGCAAAGCCACCCTGTGGACGCCGTACGAACTTCATGCCCATTTACAGATGGGAGCTCCCGTCAGAGAACTTAAGGGCGGCTCGCAAGGCCTTCCCGCTCAGGAGGCGGGCCGGGGACTCGAAGTCGTGTCACCACAGCTGACGCCTGTGTCCTAGGACCGGGGTCTTCGAGGCGGAGCGGCGTTTTCTCTCGCACGGCCCGCTGGGAATTGTAGTCCTCGGGCGCTCGCGCGCCGCCCTCTGGGAAGTGCAGTCCGCAAGTGCACCGCCCGGGTGAGCCGGCGGCGCGCGGAACTGCGCTTCCCGGCATGCCGCGCGCTCCGGGCCCGGCCGGCGGCCTGTCCGGCCGCCCCGCCCCGCGGCCCCGGCCCGCCCCGTCCGGTGGGGCGACGAGCCGCATGGAGGCCGGCTGAGGAGCGCTACCTGCCTCGGTACGCCGCGCGGGCCTGGAGTGGGGATGGAGCGGGTGCGGCGGCGGGGGTCGCCGGGGCCCGGGAGGCGCAGCCGCGGAGGGGGCGGGGCCCGCGGTCGGCGGGGACGGCGTCTCGCGCGGACCCGGCCGGTCCCGGCGGCGGCCTCGAGCGCAGGCGGAGCGCCGCGGTGCTGCCATATGGCGGGGGAGCCCGAGGACCTGGTGACCGTCTGGTCGCACCTCGTTTCTGGGAAGCAGCCTTGCCGAGATGTAACTTACGTGCCACAAAGTTTGCGTCTGCGTCCTGGTGGAAACGGGCCCGGGAGAGGGGATCGGGGCTGCCTGGACAAACGCGCGTCACAGCCGCTGGGAACTCGCGGGGAAGCCGTCGGCTGACTTGGGGGGTCAGGACAGGCTCTTTAGGGACTGGGTCGGTCCGGGGGCATCCTCTCGGAGAGACAGGCCGCGGGCTCACTGCGCTCGCGGGCGCTGGGGTCCCCGGGGCTCCCTGTGGCTTTTGCGGCTGCTGCCCCCTCTTGCGATGTGACTGGCAGGGAGCCCTGACCTGGGGTCGCCCGTCCGCCCTGCAGGATGGCCGCAGTGCTGCGTGTCTGAGGCTGCTGGGCAGAACTACCAGGGGAGGGCCGGGCCGGGCTCCCCAGCGCCTGCAGTGGTAGTGTGGGCACCCGCCTTGGGCAGGTTCCGGGAGGGTCGGCCATGTGTGCTGGACAAGAAACCACTGGGGCCTCCAGCTCAGACTCGAGTTGGCATGCGTCCTCGCCAGTGATCCCAAAGTTTGCCACACCTCCCTGAAGCAGGTCCTGCCAGGCTCCGGGCTTCTCCAGTGGCCAAGGGAGCCCAGGTTCGGGGGGTGGGGGCGGCACGGGTGGCAGAGGGCAGGGCTTTGGGCCACACCTTGCCGCCACCCAGCCAGTCACTTTTCTGCTGGTCGGTCCAGTCTGGGACCCTCAGCTTTATGAGTGGGCCCAGAGAGTTGATTCGGAGGTGAGTTTTTCAAGAAACGGCACTCGGTTCTTGGCCAGCACCGGGGAACCAGGCTGGTGTCCGGAAGGCAGTTTCGGGGTGAGGGGGCGAGCCCAGGTGTCTCGGTCGTCCTGGGGCCACAGTGAAGTTCCCCAGCTGGCGGCTCGCAGTTCCGGAGGCTGGGAGTCCAGGACCCAGTGCCGGCTGCTGTAGTGACTGGGGAGGACCCTTTTCCTGGCCGCAGACGGCTGTCTGCCTTCCCGCTGTGTCCTCACGTGGCTGGCTCACTGGGGTCTTCCCTCGTGGGCACCGATCCCATCGTGGGCGCCCCCGCTCCTGACCTTATCTGCACCCAGCCACCTTCCAGGGGCCCCACCTCCTCACACCATCACAGGGGCGACGGGGGCGGGGGGCAGGGCTTCGACACGAGAACATGGGGAGATGGAATTCAGTCCGTCTGGCACCAGGGACCCCAGACAGGGACAGCTGCCCGGGCCGGACAGGCGGGAACCTGTGGCCTGCCGGTCCCACCGTGAACTTCCTGCTGTCCTCAGGCTGCATCCCAGGGCTCCGCACCCCGATGGGCCCCTAATGGGAGTGGGGCTCTTCCTGCCGTTCGAGTCAGCGCCTTCCGCTGCGCACTTGACGAGACAGGTCCTCTCGGGCTGTCGGGAATTCCTGCGGATTTGGAGCTTGTTTTCCCAGAAGCACGTGAGGGATTCTTCTGCTGTCTGTCTGTGTGGAGAGTTAAGAGTTTCCAAAACTGGGCTCGATGCTTTCCCTCCGCAGACGAGGAGCGGCCTGGGAAGCTGCCGATCTGGTGCTTGCCCTGCCTGCAGGGCGCGCCCCAGCGGAGGGGCGCCCAGAGGTGTCCCGCGCTGCTGGGCCAACATGGCGACAGACTGTGGCATGCGTTTAGCCGCCTGGAGAGGCCCCCGCGTGTGGACCGGTGGACGGCTGGGTGGCCTCTCGAGGCTCCTGGGCCCTGGGGACAGGACCTGAGTCCCAGCGAACACAAGCGTCCTGCCCAAGGCCTCACAGCGCTGGGAGGCTACGCGGAGACCTGGCCGGCGCCCACAGCCTGGTTGCGGGCAAACCAGCTGGCCTGTTTGCCAGACGCGGCCTGCCTGCCTGCAGCCTTGCGCAGGGCCCCCTTCTGACAGTTGGGCCCAGCGCTTGCCCACCTGGCCATGCTCTGTGGGCAGGAGCAAGGACCGGGGTCTGGGGAGGCGTCCTGCTGCCCATGGGGCCCCGCGGGCAGCCTGGGGCTCAGCTGCAGGTGGGGGCCTGGCGCTGGAGCCTGGATCTGGGAGGGGCGCGTGGATGCCCCCTTGAGGGTCTCAGCCAGGGTCTGCTGGTCACTGCCCCGAGCAGCGGTGTAAGGAGCCTGGTGGGGCCTGTCAGTCCAGAGGTTTCATGGCAGGAAACGGAAGGACGCAGATGCTCGCTGGCCGCTGGCGGCGAGTGCGGGAGATGGCGGTGGGCGGGGCGAGAACCCACCTAAGTCACATCCTGGGTGGGTGTCGCCAGGACCCCGCCGAGGGCGAGGGAATCGGACGGGGGCTCGGATGGTGCGTGCAGACGAGCTGGTGTCAGAGGGAGATGCTTCTTGGGATCGGGCTCAGGGGCCCCCGTGCGGAGCCCGCCTCGGGGGAGCAGCCCTGGGGGCTGACGGGGACCTGGGTCCTAGTGCAGCCGCCGGCCAGGCTGGCCCTCCAGGCCCCGTGGGCTTCGAGGGAGGGCGAGGGCACAGGCCGGCCCTGCGGCTACCGAAGGCCGGGCGAGGAGGCCGAGGCGGCATGTGGCCTCCCGTGCGGTGGCCGTCCGCCCTGCACGCTCCGAGGCTGTGTCAGTCCTTGGCAGCCCCCGCTGCTCGGAAGTCAGAACCGTCGGCTCCCTGTGAACAGCAGAGTGAGGATAGTCCGGCCCAGCTGCGCCTTTGGCCGACCCCGGAGCCCAAGGGGAAGCCCCCGCTGCGGTCTTTGGGGGGGGCCCCCTCCTGCTCAGGCCCGGCTTCCTGCTTCTGTTCCGGTGGCGCCTTGTGTGGAGAAAGCCCTGCCCTGTGACATGGGAGGAGCGCGGGGCGGGGAGGCGGGGGCCGGGAGCCGGGGGCGAGGCCCAGGTGAGCTGCTGCTGCCCACCAGGTGCTGGTGCTGCTGCTGCTTCCTGGGCGGGGACACCTGACAGGCGGCCAGGCGGGCTCGGGCGCGACGGTTCCCGGACTGCCACCCTCTGTGCTGGCCGCCCTGCCTTCCAGGGCCCCGAGCTCCCTTCGGCCCCTAAGCCGGGTCCTCTTCCTGACCGTTCTTTGTCCTCGGGACAGACTGCCCCCACCCTGATCGGCGCAGGCCCCTGGGAGCCTGAACCGCAGACCGGCAGGTGCATCAGGAGGCAGCCCTGCCCCTGCTCAGCGCTGCCTCCCCAGGCGGCTCCTGCCACTGCGGGCGAGCAGACGGAAGCTCCGAGCAGCCGTGAGGCTCGGGGACAGAGGCTGACGTCGTGTTGCGCTTACTCTGTTAGTTGTTTTTCCTCATAACTGTGAAGGTTTTGAAAAGTTAGGCAACAGTGACCCTGCAGAGAGCCCTGGGCATTTCCGTCCTGCGCGTCCCCAGCGGCTGCTGCTGGAGCGCGCCCCAGTGGTCAGTTCGTGAGGTCATGTCTGACAGGCTCCGGACCAAACCACGACAGCACATCGCAAGGACAGCCAAGCGCCTTCTCTGACAGTCCAGTCAGCGGCCCGGCTTCTGCGGGCGGCTCGCGGTTCTGCTCGGCCCCTCGTGCGTCTGCGTGCCGGCCGCCCACCCTGGCGGGGCAGGGCCTTGGCTCCGGCAGGTGCTGGTGGGGCTCTCAGCAGCCTGGGGGGGAGGCAGTGTGACAGCCTCACGGCCAAAGGCACGTGCCGCTCCTCCGCCCTCTCTCCAGGGACCGCGTGGGAAGGGCCAGCGTCCAGGGGGCTGCACCCTGGCACACGCCCCGCCCCACCGGCAGCTCCTGAGCGCCTGGCTCCATCGCGAGGGGCAGCGTCGGGGCTGGCACACCACCTGGGCCTCGCCACGGTGGCCGGGCCTCTCCATGCGCGCGTCTCCTTCCCTGGGCTCCGGGCAGCGCAGTATCCCCGCCCCCCCGCCGCCGCCCGCCTCCAGCGTCGGTGCTGGCGTCTGGGTGCGTGCGGCTGACCACGTGGCATTGTGTCACTGCGCTCGGTGTGGACGGCAGCCTTGGCTCTGTCCGCAGGCCCCGGGACAGCCCCAGGGCCCAGCACTGGCGCGATCGGCAGACTCCCTCCTCCCACTTGCTTCTCTCCTCACAGGGACTTCTGGGACTTGGGTTTTGACCCAGAGTCAGAAAGGAGCCCGGCTGCCGTCTTCCTCTGTTGGGGGAGTGGGAGCTGGCGGCAGGGCTGGCCTGCTCGTGGCGGAGTCTCGCGCCTGCCACATCTGGCCCTGGGGACTCTGGTGGCTGGTGCGTCGGTGCAGGGCGCGGCAGGCCCATCCGGGCATCCTCGAAGATGACCGGCCGAGCCCGTGCCTGCTGCGGCCCCCGCTGAGGACGCACACCCATGTCTCCTCAGGCTTCGCTGGTCGCGCCGGAGCCTCCGGGCAGCCATGGAGGAGGAGGAAGAGCAGCCACCGCGGGAGGTGAGAGGCCCGGCGGGGGGTCGGGGGCCTGCTCCCTGAACAACCTCCCAGAGGACGTCCCTCGGTGTGGCCCTGGGCCGCTCCGGCTGCCCCGAGTGTGGAGAGCTGCATGCGGCCCCCCGGGTGGGCCGCCGACGACGCGGTTGTCGCGCCGAGCCTTCCCGCCCGGGGGCGAGTGGCTCGCGGGCCAGGGGCTCAGGGCAGCCCACACGTGGGGCGGGCGGCCGCTCAACGCAGCCCTTCCCCCGCAGGCCGGCACGGAGCCCGCTGTGTCCTCAGGAGCCTCGGAGGCGGTGCCCAGGGTGCTTCCCGGAGACCCCCAGAGCCTGTGTTTGTGTCCCCAGGAACACTCAGTGCTGGGCAGCAGGGGTGGACAGCTCCCAAGTTGGTGGTGACGGGCCCGGCCGCCCCAGGGCTTTGGGAGGGGCTGCGCACAGTGGGGCAGCTGGGCTGGGGCCGCACCCCCGAGGACGGCTGTCCTGGGCGCCCTGAGGGAGGGGTCCGGGCGGCGGGCGGCGGTGGGCATGGCTGGGGGCTGTGAGCGCGCACAGCAGTGCGTTGAGGCCCCGGGGCACCCGCTTTGGCTGGTGTCCGCCTCCCCCGCCACCCCATGCGCATCTGGGCTCCACAGTGCAGCGCGGCCCAAGCTGGGCCTTGTGTCCTTGCAGCCGACGTGGACGCGTTCAACCTGCTTCTGGAGATGAAGCTGAAGAGGCGGCGAGAGCGGCCCAACCTGCCGCGCACGGTGACAGAGCTGGTGGCTGAGGATGGCAGCCGGGTGTACGTGGTGGGCACGGCCCACTTCAGCGACGACAGCAAGAAGGACGTTGTGAAGGTGACAGCTGTCACGGTCTGAGCCCAGGCAGGGCCGTGCCCCCCCGACACCAGCCTCCGCGTCCGCGTCCCCAGCCCGGCCGCCCCGTGCGCTCTTTCTTCCAGGACAGGCAAGCCTGTTCCGGAACTTTCTCCGTTTGGTTGCTTAAAGAGCTGAGTTGTGGCCACAGTCTCAGCCCCACGGGGGCCGCCGGGGGGCCCTGCCCCGTGGGCCGCGGGGCCCGGGGTGACGGCGTGCCTTTGCAGACGATCCGCGCGGTGCAGCCCGACGTGGTGGTGGTGGAGCTGTGCCAGTACCGCGTGTCCATGCTGAAGATGGACGAGCGCACCCTGCTGCGGGAAGCCAAGGAGATCAGCCTGGAGAAGCTGCAGCAGGCCGTGCGGCAGGTGCGCGGGGCGCGGGCCGCGCTCCCCGCGCTGCCGGCCTGTGAGCCCGAGGCCCCGGGTGCGCCTGGCCTCCGCTCTGCGCTCTGCCCGTGGCTCAGCCCTCACCTCGGCCGGTGGGCACGGGGAGGCTCCCACCCCACCCCCCCGGGTTTCAGCCAAAGGAGGACGCCACGGGCAACGCGAGGGCCCAGGTCACTGGGGGTGGCGGTGGTGCCGGTGTGTCTCCCGCACGGGGGTCCGAAGCGCAGAGCCCAAGCCCACTGCCCTGACTGTGGGCAGAGGGCTCCCTGGCGGAGGCCGGGCAGCAGTCCCCACGGCGCCCTCGAGCGGGCCTGCCCGGGGAAGGTTTCCACAGGCCGGAGGGGCCGCGGGGAGTCCGCGGTGGGCGGTGGGCCCTGCCCAGCCCCGGCCGGCGTCCGGCTGACCCGGGCCCTCTCCCGGCAGAACGGGCTCATGTCTGGGCTGATGCAGATGCTGCTGCTGAAGGTGTCGGCCCACATCACCGAGCAGCTGGGCATGGCCCCCGGCGGCGAGTTCAGGGAGGCCTTCAAGGAGGTGGGCCTGGGCTTGCCCCGGGAGGGGGCTTGGGACTCGGGGGCAGCCTGGGGCCGGCGGCTTCCCCAGCCAACCCTCGCCTCTGCCCCAGGCCAGCAAGGTGCCCTTCTGCAAGTTCCACCTGGGGGACCGGCCCATCCCCGTCACCTTCAAGAGGGCCATCGCGGCGCTCTCCTTCTGGCAGAAGGCCAAGCTGGCCTGGGGCCTGTGCTTCCTGTCGGACCCAATCAGGTAGGGCTCCCTTAGCCCTCTGGCCACCGGCTCCGGCCCACACGCGGCCAGACCCGCCGCGGGGCCCGTCCCTCTTGTCCTCAGGCTGAGCCTCAATCGGGGCCTTCCCCACGCTCCCCTCCTCGGCGACCCCAAACGGAGGGCGCCCAGGTCCCTGCCCCGGGCGAGCAGCAGCAGCCCCCGCCGGCCCCGTCCCCACGGGCTGGCAGCTCGCCCTCCGCCCCCAGCAAGGACGACGTGGAGCGCTGCAAGCAGAAGGACCTGCTGGAGCAGATGATGGCAGAGATGATCGGCGAGTTCCCGGACCTGCACCGCACCATCGTGTCCGAGCGCGACGTCTACCTGACCTACATGCTGCGGCGGGCCGCCCGGCGCCTCGAGCTGCCGCGCTCCTCTGACGGTGACGGCGACGGCCAGCCCGGCGGGGCCCCCAGGAGCCTGTCGCCGACGCGCGGGTGCTGACGCGCTGCTCCCTCCACAGCTGAGCCCCGGAAGTGCGTCCCCTCCGTGGTGGTCGGCGTCGTGGGCATGGGCCACGTCCCCGGCATCGAGAAGAACTGGACCACCGACCTCAACATCCACGAGATCATGACGTGAGTGCTGCCCACCCTCCCCAAGCACCACCCGGGGCCGGGGTTGGAGGCCGGCGGGGGCGCGCGGCAGTGCCTGGCCGCGGCCGGGGTGCCGGCCCCCGGGACCGCGCCCAGCCTGCCGCCCCCCCGCAGCGTGCCGCCGCCGTCCGTCTCCGGCAGAGTGTCCCGGCTGGCCGTGAAAGTCGCCTTCCTGGGGCTGCTGGGCTATGGTCTGTACTGGATGGGGCGCCGCACCGCCAGCCTGGTCCTGTCCCTGCCCGCCGCCCAGTGCTGCCTGCAGAGGGCGCCCTCAGCCCGGCTGAGCAAATAGGAAGGACCCAGGGAGCTGCGCGTCCGGGGGAGGGGGCCTGGGGGCCCCTGCGGAAGGGCAGCTCCTGGGTGCCACCCCCCAGGGATCTGGGCGCAGCCTCGCCTGCCTCCCCACCCACCCAAATAAAGAATTATTTAACTGCTCTGAGCTCAGGCTTCCCAGACGCCCCCACCCAGGGGCCGTTCATGGGGTTTATGGGCATCAGGCAAGGGTCGGAGGGGCTGAGGTGCGCGCTGCCCCCTCGGCCGCCAGGTGGCGGGATGTGGTGGGTCACCGCCGGCCGGCCCCTCCCTCACTGTGCCTTTGAGCTGGGTGCCTGCGGCAGCAGCGGGGGCGGCGGTCCTGCCGCATGCTGAGGAGCACCGCGCCTGCAGCCCTGGCGTGGCTCCTGGCGTGTCCCCCAGGAGAGCAGCGTGGCCCAGCTCGGTGGCCCTGGCCGCACCCAGCACCGCTCTGCCTGCGGAGGTGGTGTGTTTTGGGCTTTTTTAAATTTCTGAAATTTTTTACTCAGGAAATTTTAACTTAAAAAAAACTGAAGCAGATGTCAGGAAATAGAGCCTTAAACCTGGTTTGGACAGAGGGTCGCAGCCCTGAGAGGGCGGGCGAGGCCGGGGCAGCCTTGGACGGGGGGCCGGGACACAGCCCGTCCGCTGGCCCGCACCCGCCCCCAGCCCGAGGGCCCCAGGAGCAGGAGCCTGCCCCGCTGGGGGGCCGAGCCTGCTTCCTGTGCCTCGGGCGGGGCTCCCCGACACGGCGCTTGCCCCTCGGGGGTGCGTGTGGTCCGTGGGTCCTGGTCGCGCAGCCCGCTGGGCCGGTTGTGGTGACTCGGTGTCCAACCAAACCCGGCAAAGCCCACAGCCATGTGCAGGCCGGGGAGCCTCCTGCGGCCCTGCGCCCTTCCTGTCGCTTGCGCGTGGGTGCGTGTTCCTCAGAAACTGAAATAAAAGCTAATTTTTGACGCCTCTGTTACGTGAAATGTGTGAAGAGGGGACTGGCGCGACCGGGGAGGGGTGCCCACGGGGGCCGGGCGGCAGGACGCGGGGGCACCGCCTTGAGTTTGTGAGGACGTTCTGCGGCCACCGCAGGACACAGCCCCTGGCACCAGCCCCTCCCAAGCGTGGACCCCAGGCCAGCGAGGGGGCCGGCCCAGGGGACACTCATGCCCTGGTCCTTGCCTGCCCTGGCATGTGGGAGGGCGGGGGCTGGGCTGAGCCCAGTGCCTTGGACAAAAGGCTCAAGGGGCTCAGCTGCTCGATGAGCCTAGAAAGACCGGGGTGAGCACAGAGTGTGGCTTGGGCGCCTGCGGGCAGGTGCGGAGGGAGCGTGGCTGGTGGGGTTGGCGGGGGGCTCTTCCCCAAGAAGCATGGCTGCTCGCCCAGGCTGGGTCTTACTGTGCGCCTCTGGGGCAGCGCCTAAGTCCAGGGAGAGTGGGCAGGCCAGTGGGTCTCCAACCCAAGGTGGGCTGGGGGTCTCAAGGCTCCCAAGCCGGGGTCTTCTCTCCATAGGTCCAGGTGGTGCGGCTGGAACCCTGAGGTCCAGTGCGTGCTGGGCAACCTCTGACCCAGCCTCCACAGGTCTGCACCCTGCATGCCTCTAAGTTCCCATGAGGACCCCCCTGGGGGAAGGATAGCAAGGACAAGGTCCTGCTCCAGTCCTGTGGGAGGAGGGGCTGGGGCAGCACCCAGGCCACCGCCAGGCAGGGCGGCCGAGGCCGACCCTCCAGGCGCAGCAGACAAGGTCCATGCTGGACGCGCAGGGCCCAGGGGGCATCCGGTGGCAGTGGGACTGGCTGGGGGTCTGGCCGGGGGCCAGTGAACATGTGGGCCCCAAGGGACCGCCTCTTCCAACAGAAACGGTACCTGAGGCAGGTGTCCTGAGCCAAGGGGCGAGGTCACATCGGCTGCTGGGTTATCGCCGCTGCCTGTGGGGCTCTGGTCCAGTCACCCGAAGAGCACTGCCCCTTCCCTGGCAAGCCCTGGCCCCTCCCGGCCCACATCCGCCGCCAGGGGGAACCGCTCTCGGGATCGGGGTGGACCACGGGGCTCCCGTCAGGGTGTCCACTGTCCAGCCAGGAGGAGCCAGCGCCCCTTCCAGGTGAGCAGCCTGTGGCGCTGTGTGGATATCATTTGTGAAGGCAGGAGGGGCCCCTCTCCCAGGCTGTCAGGGAAGGGCCGGGCCCAGCAACTCGCCTTCTGGGGTCCCCCCTCCGACCTCACGCCTGGGCACAGACGTTCGCCGGGCCCTATTCATGGTCAGGAAAGGCTGGGAGAGACCCACCCACCCACGTCTCGGGATACAAAAGACAGACGCCCAGGATACAACGCTAAGTGAAGCAAGGGAGCCGTGTAGGGCGGTGTAAAGTACCACAATCGACTGCGGGTGGTCGCGCATCTTCACCCCATTTCTGAGCATTTGAATATATTACAATGCAAGTTTGTGTTCCCCTGGGAAGCAGAGAAACAGCAAGGTTTCATTTTCTCAAAGGAATTCAAAGTGCTTCAGGGAGCGTGGACGCCCCTCTCGGACAGACGGGGGCCCAGCCGGCCGGCGGTCCTGAAGGCACAGCCGACGAGACCCGGGCTCCGTGACACGCGCACAGCTGTCGGGCGGCGGCTCGGAGCAGGGACCGGGGCCGGGAGAGGCCTCTGGACTTCAAGTGGGGCTGGCAGGGGCACAGACAGCGCGGGCGGCGGGGGGGCAGGCGGGCGGTGCTGCTTGTGGGCACCGGGGTGTTGCCAGGCGCCGCGGGTCCTTGTCCACAGTGTTGGTCCCACCCGGAATGCCGGGTGCGGGGGGGCGGGGAGGACCTGGCCGCTGCCCTCACTGTGGGACTGCTGGTGGTGCAGTGGCCGCGGCCCAGCGGAGCGCCCGGGGTGTGGGGAGCCAGACGCAGGCACTGCGCGCCGCCGTGGGCAGCGTGGCCTGGGCCGCGCCAGCAGCGTACCCTGCCCAAAGTCCAAGTCTGGTTGTCTCCGTGCCTTTTGTGGGTCGGGACAGGAGCGGGGCCCAGGCAGCTCCAGACTGGCCTGGCCAGGCCCTGTGCTGTGCAGCACCTGCCTGCAAAGGACAAGCCTGGGGAATCCAGGAGGCCAGACACTGGGAGGCCCAGGCAGACCTGCTGCCAGAACCCTCGCGCCCTCCAGAGGGCCCTCCAGCTGCGGGCTCGGAGAGGGCAGCAGGGGCCCAGGGCCTGGCCCTCTAAGCCCCCTGCCCCCTGCCCCCTGACTCAGCGTGGGGGAAGGGCGGTGGGGGGAGGGGAAGGAGATGAGTCAGGAGAACCTGGGCCCGGGACGCAGGCCCGGGTGTCGCCCCGCCCCCCAGGCAGCTAGGAAGGAGGCTGGGAGCGGCGGGCAGCCAGGGACACGGGGGGCTGTCAGGCTGCGAGGGTTCCAGCGTGGGACAATCCCCGCGCTGTCCCCATCACCCGGGTGACCCCCGACCCCACACGGAAGGTAGTGTCCTTGTTCACGTCATGGACGAAGACCCTGAGATGGTGAGCGGTCCCCGGAGGCCACAGCTGGCAGGGGCAGGGCTGGTTCACAGTAGCCCACAGTGCGGTCGCGGAGGCGGCTCCTTGGAGTTAAGCGTTGAACCCAGGCAGGAGGGACTGTGAGTGCGCCTGGGGTCTCTGGCCCAGCTCCTGGTCTCAGGTTTTACTTTAGGGCCAGCAGAGGAGGGTACTGGGAAACAGCTCCAAGGACCAGGTGTGCAACACGTTCACAAGTCGGCACACATCAGCCTGGGAGGCTCAGCGGGGCTCCTCTGAACCCAGCCCCTGAGTGACTCTGCAACCGGACCCCAACTCCTTACCTGGGGGCGGGCCCTTCAAGGCCGGGCGCCCCGCGTCCGCCCCACCCTCTACCCCGCACAACTGAGGACAGTGCTCTGGGCCCTGGGCTGCTTCTCCGCAGCACGAGAAACAGGAAACCGGGGACGCGTTCGTTCCACGGAGCAGTGCTGTGCCAGGAAATACTGAGTGACATGGAGCAGGCGCGGGCGGGCGTGGAATCCCGCACACACGAAGGGAGCCACGCTCCAAGCAGAGGGCAAGCAGGAGCAAAGGCCTTGCTCCCGGGAGGCCCCGCCCGCTGTCCAGTTTGGCTTCGCCCTGGGGCTCTTCCCGGCCCAGAACTGTCCTCACCGCCCCTCGGCCAGACCTGGAGAAGCGCTGTCCCGCCGGCCCCTGTGCACGGCGCGGAAGAGCACATCCCGGGCCCGACCTTCGGCACCACCCCCATGGACGCTCTGCCCGGACTGGCAGATGTCTCCCGGGCGGCACCTCCAGGGACCTGCTGGCTGCTACGCGGAGCAGGCATCCCACACCACCCCGTCCCCTCTGCCCACCCCAGCCCCAGCCTCAGCCCTGCGCTCTGGAAGGAGGACCGGGCGCAAAGCCTTCCGGCACCGCAACGAAGCCAAATCGCAAAAGCGGACCGAAGGATGACATAACCAATCAGAGTCGAGCGTTTGTGGGCGCGGCCCGCGCAGGCGCAGAGGTGGATACCGCCCCTCCGGCGATTGGGCAGCGAGGCACGCGGGGCGGGGCTTCCTGTGTGGGGCGGTGTGGTTTCCGCTGCCTCGGCGCCGCTTATGGCCTCCCTCAAAGCCGCGCTCGGGGCCTCTTTCGCGTCCCCCCGCGCCCTATCCCCGCTCCTCGGTTGCCGCCCGCCACCCGCGCCCTGCTCCGCTTCGGCCGCCGCCCGCGGCACCGCCATGGAGCAGGCGCCCCGTTGGCTGGCGGGGCTGCGCTTCGACAACCGCGCCCTGCGCGCGCTGCCAGTGGACACGACGCCGCCGGACCCTGAGGGCGCAGCGCCCGTGCCGCGGCTGGTGCCCGGGGCCTGCTTCAGCCGCGTGCGGCCCGAGCCCCTGCGGCAGCCACGCCTCGTGGCGCTATCGGAGCCCGCGCTGGCGCTGCTGGGCCTGGGCGCGCCGCCCGCCGACGCCGCCGCCCGCGAGGCGCGCGAGGCCGAGGCCGCGATCTTCTTCAGCGGCAACGCGCTGCTTCCGGGCTCCGAGCCCGCCGCGCACTGCTACTGCGGCCACCAGTTCGGCCAGTTCGCAGGGCAGCTCGGCGACGGCGCCGCCATGTACCTGGGCGAGGTGTGCACGGCGGCCGGCGAGCGCTGGGAGCTGCAGCTTAAGGGCGCCGGCCCCACGCCCTTCTCCAGGTGGGCGCCTTCTCCAGGTGTACGCGGGGGGCGGGCCCGTGCCCAGAGTTGCCCCAACCCCGGTAGGGTGGGCTGTCACTCCGGGAAGTTCGAGCTAGGGACGGAGGACCGGTGGGTGGCAGCGTCCTGGCGGCGGGAACCGCTGGTGGGGAGGCCCGGGCCGGGAAGCAAGCGCTGGGCCCGGCCCTGCCCCCTCTGGCCTCAGCCCCGCGGAGCGGCTGACCCCGCAGCCCTGGCGGCTGCCCGCGCTGGTCTCACAAACCGCCCCAGGACCTGGCGCGCAGAGCGCGTCGCGAGCGCACGGGAGCCGGGGCGACTTAACGGGCAAACTCCCAGCTGTAGGCTTAGGCATTTCTCTAAGAACGGAACAAAGTTATGAGGGAAGACAATGAGCACCTCTCCCACCTCACCTGGCGGGCCACCAAGGCTGAGTGGAGGTGTCTGGGGTGTACCTGCTGCCCGTACCCTCTGCCGGGAAGGGGCCAGACCTGGTCCCAGAGAGAGGTTGGGGTGCTGGGGCACAGGCCTGCCGAGCAGGGCAGAGGAGGCCAGGGGTGCGTGCCCAGACCAGGGCTGGGGGCCCCGGAGGCCCCCTGCCCTGTCCTCCCCGGGACCCTGCGTGTGGCTCATCCCAGGTGTGAGCGACACCTCTGGAAACCAGCCAGGCGGCCACCCAGGCCCCTCTGCAGGGTGACGGTGCCCGGCCCTGGGGGCGTGAGCCTCAGCGCACAGCTGCGCTGCGGGCGCCGCCCCCGCCGTCT